AACTCTATGATTCTATGATTCTATGATTCTATGATTCTACAGTGTAGATGCACCCAAGTCAATTAAAATTTAACCAGATAATTATACGATACTGACATGTAAAGCTGTAATTCTTCACTAATTCACTTCATGAAGGAAGCTAAAAGTAATTTTAGCATTTTAGTCCCACTATGAGAAAATCTGCACAAAAATTATTCACAATTCAGAATTTATTTCCCACAAAATATTCACATGGCATTTTTGCATCATATTATTTGATGCATAGAAAATATTGTTTCCTGCACAGACAAGGCTGCTTTCTGCACAAAACAATGCGATGAGATTTATTTTTTGGGGGGGAGCAGGGGAGTTAATCTTCAATAACAGCATTTGCTGCACAGGAAACAGGATATTTTGCATAGAAAGTATGATTTCTGCACAAAATAATCACATGCGGATGTTGCGTGGTCCAGGATTCTTCTCATCAGGGTTTCTTGATGTGTATTTTGAGATTTCCCATTTTACAAATACTTTCAAATTTTCTTTCCATCACAGTTGAAATGATAGCTTCCTGGAGGGGAAGCGCTTTTGATTTACTCTACCAATGTTGTAACCAGTCGTATCACAAGGGTTGGTTTCACCCATTGTTGCAACTCATTGTGTCATCCTCCCTATTGACCTCCACCCATCTCACACCCTTAGAAAGGGGTTTTTTTTTTTTTTGTACTAATGTTACTCATAGATCATAATTTCCATATATCACTGAGTGTAATGGTAATAGATGTGAGATAAACTATTAGACAACTTGAAATTATACCTTTAAAGCACAATATCCTCATGGTGTAGTGGCTTGAATGTTGGACTACAACTCTGGAGACCAGGGTTCAATTCCCAGCTTGGCCATGAAACCCACTGGGTGACCTTGGGCAATTCACATGCTCTCAGCCTCAGGGGAAGGTAATGGCAAACCTCCTCTGAACAAATCCTGCCAAGAAAACCACCTGATAGGTTTGCCTTAGGGCTACCATAACTCAGAAATGACTTGAACGCACACAACACACAATCTGGAGTAGCACTGGGAACATCAGTCTTCTAGCCCCATAGTTCCCCCACTTCTTCCAGAGTTATCTGCCTAAATATCTTGGAATGAGAGGAAAATTGGCAGCTACTTCTGCTGCCTTGAGTTTCATCACACTTTATTCATGTCCTTGTCTTTGATGCCTGGCTACTGGGACTTTTCTGAGTCTGCCTTGAGCAAAAGTCAGGTGTTGCATCTTAAGGTGTTGTGACAGACCTCCAAGTCACCTTGTTACCAATTGCCTTCCTCAGGTCTTGCATACACAGCTTCCTTGATTGAGTCTATCTATCTGGAATGCCATCTACTTTTTCCTACTGTCTTCTACTTTCCCAAGTATTATTGTCTTTTCTAGTGAGTCACATCTTGTTATGATATAGTCAAAGTATAACAATCTTAATTTAATCATCTTGGCTTCTGGGGAGAATTCAGGCTTGATTGGCTTCTGGTACCATTTATTTGCCTTTTTAGCAGTCCATAGAATTCTTTTCCAGAACCACATTTCAAAGGAGTAGATTCTCTTCAACAATGGTTTTGCATCTGACACAGAAACCCCTGGAAATATATGGCACTCTGTAATACTGAAATCAATTTATAAATACATGGAGGAGCATAGATGGTGGTACAACTTAAAATGCCATTGAACAGTCACATCCACCACTCCCACATTAGATCTCCAGAATGAAGGATAGGACTTCCCAAAGTATTGTTGGCTTATGGAGCTGAAATCAGTTTTGTGTGCCTCTTTAGTGTGCAGCAGACTTAACATGACAGTATATTGTCACCCACTTAATGCTGGTCATCCCTTTGAGGGCACTGCTTCAGGAAAGAAGCAAGGGTGGAAGCCAGATATTCTAACTGAGCATGAAGAAGGCACAAGTTTGTCCATCACTAAGTGAATTTGATGCATAAGACAAAAATAAAAAATAAAAATGGAGATCTGAGTGTGCAGTAGGCAGGGTGCTCATTTTATTCATTAAAACCATTTACAAAGTCAAATGATATGTTACACCAATCGGTCCCCAAATATAGAAAAGCTTTTATGTTAGCCAGATTAAATGTTCTACAATCTACACTCCTGGAGGGCAGATATAACAAGATCCCTGTTCAGGAACTATTATGTCCTTGCAATACAAGAAGTGTGGAAACTGTTGTTCATGTTGGAGAGAAGTGACCAGTGGTTTGCCACAGGCTTCCGGCCTGGGCCCAGTACGGTTCAACATCTTTATCAATGACTTGGATGAAGGAATCGAGGGCATGTTTATCAATTTGCAGATGATACCATTGCAGCAGGACAGTTCAGGGACTAGACAGCATGTGCTGGGTTAAAAGATGGCCAGAACTTTAATGCTTATACAGGGGTCATAAATCAATCATGAATGTCATCATAAATCAATCATAAGATATACTCAAAGCAATCATAAGCGGGTCATAAATCAATAATTATGCCATTGTAAATCAATCATAAAGTACAAAATTAATCAGTCATAATTGTTGGGGCTTAGAAAGACGTGCTATGTCCACCACAACCACTTGCAGAGTTGTTCCACATCGACAGGACACCAAGGAGAAGGTTTCCGG